TTTGCTACTGGGACAAAAGGGACACAACTAAGGTTTGAGGATATTGGCCTCTGTGTTTGTAACTGCACAACTGGAAAACTCAGGAAGTAAATTATAAAAACAAGGAACAGGCATTTATGTTGAATCGAATAAGGAAGTAAGAGGTACGAACAAAAGATATGCATTCTTTCTTTGGATAAAACTTAAGACATATTTGTTCTTGATTGGCTAGAATTGTGCCCATGGTTGTTTGACAGACTGAAGTTTTATGTTTGGATTGTGTTAAGTTCAGTAGCCTCGGTGGGATTCGAACCCACGCATGGACGCCGCCTACGCTTTTGTAAAGCGCATGCTCGCATTCGAATTACCCATCCATTCGAATGTGAAAAGACCATGGTTTTCGGTGTGGCCTCGTAGGTCATCTGATAGAGCGTGCGCTGTACAAAAGCGTAGGCAGCGTCCATCCCACTGAGGCTACTGAACTTTTCACAATCCCAACATATGACTAAAATCGGCCATTCAGACTCTACCTTCGTGCACATCCCGGTCAACCATAAACCCAGAAGTACTAGATTTGTGTTGGGCTTTTATTAGAACTCATCAATAGTGCATATCCACCGTCCCGTTTCTAGATTTGAACCCCAGAATCATCGCATGGAAGGCATGTGTGTTACCACTGTGCCAATCAGCTCAGGCCAGGGCTGAACTGTATTGGTAATTCACGTTTGTTTAGGTGTCGTCTTCAGAGACGGTCAATATGTTTTATAACTAAAGTGTTAAACGTTAAAAAAGCGACAAGAGTAAAAAAACGCTTGGAACAGGCCTGCGTGAGTGGCATTCCATTTTTCACTTCAATATCGCCCTTGTGCACCTGGGTGTTACCACTTGGAGAATAATCCAAGAATGATGAATTAGGTTTTCCAGTTTTCACGTAGATCAATGTGATCGACAACTCCTCAATACAACCCCAAACATCTTCAATATAGCCGGATTGAACAGAGTGACTGTGGGGCTCACTATCAAGAAATACAGAGCACTGATTCAATAAGTAAATGCCCCCCCCCCCTCTGACAGGACCGGCGAGCTGGCACAGAATGATGCTACACGAACACTGAATGAGATATCACGCGTCGATTAGGGCAATAACCCTTAGCACCGAGATTTGAATCTCCCCGCAACCGTTGGACTGAGGTAGCAAGCTGTTCCGCCAGTGTACTGAAACTTTTCAACTTGGTTCACCGTTTCAAGTTTCATGTCACGGCTATCTAACATCTTCACCAAATGGTGAGGCACCTCATCATGTCTGCTGGACCAGCGAGGTTGGCTACGCGATATGCAACGGCACTTTCTGAATACACTGCTCACGCCCAGTTTCGCAGTAAGAAGTCTCGTTTCTCATTCTGATTCATTCGACGAACGAACGGATGTTCGGTCCATGGTGAGAGAGGGAGGTTTGCAAAAGGGAATACTTCCCCAGTGTAGCCCCGATGGGACGATGAAAACGTATGCGCTTTCTTTGGTACGATGCTAGCTGAATTCGAAATCTCACTTAGAGTACCGTGGTTTGCCCTAGTTTTATGTCTCGTCTAGTGTGGAACTACCGGGGCCATGTGATTGGCATTTTTCCTACAGCCAACCACAAATATAGATTAAAACTATAGATCTCATGGGTAAGGAATCGTCTATTGTAAGTGAAAAACAACAGAGAAGATATCAGTAACAATCGTAAAACAATGTATACAGTACAATTTCACACAATCCATGTTTTAGTCTAGTTATTTTTCCAAAACCTCGGGTACATTTGACGCATCACACCAATTTGTACTTTCGTTGATCACGCACACGTGGTTGAATCGATTAAGACACGAGGATCAAGTTTTCTTGGTTGTTCTCATCGGTACCTCTGCCTAAGCCACTGGATCCGTTCAACCAGAACCAAGTGCATGTGGGGAAAAGTTGATGGCACGCGCGCACGCACACGACCAAGTAAGAATGTGTCGGTTGTCTTGGTTAGTGCATGACCTTGGTCAACAGCTTGAACTGTATGATACAGATAGACGTGCTGATTGGATTCGAATGGTTAGCCAGCCAATCACTGATGCCTGGGTAACGTCACGCTGTTGACAATAAGTTAGCACAAAAGGTATAAGGCTTCCGGCGGTGTCCATCAGCTATTAGGTTTAGAGGGTCAGTCTTGGTTTTGAAGTTGACGAAACTTGTGCGCAAAATATATGAGAGATGGAACAAGTACCAACTCAATGGTGAATCTTGTGGATTTACAACAGATGAGGTGGATTGCAGTGACAACCGCAAAGAGATTAGTTCAAAAAAAAACCGACAG